ATAGAGTATATAGTATTTTATTGTTAGATTGACATTTTTGTACGTATAATAAATAAAGTCACATGAATGATGATAGTATGAAACGTGCGTGTTACGTTAAACATGTGTAACGATAAAGTCATTCAAATGAGGATACAAAGGCAAAAGGTGTTTGACAAGCCATGTCCACGGAATTGTTAAAGTTACTTTCGCAAGATTACAGCACTCTCCTTAGCGACGGCAGCGAACTTGCCGACGTAGAGGTTCATGTCGGCCAAGAACTAAAAGTTTACAATGTGCACTCGTTAATCTTGTGGACTCGGTCACCATATTTTCGTTCGGAAATATGGGCCAATAAGGAAGAACATTCGGTTGACCATAAAATAATATTTTCTCTACCAAACATCAGTCCTAAAACATTTAACACACTTCTCAGGTAAGTTACTCTCCGTGTGAACATTTCGTGTGCTATTTGTCGATGTCTTATACTCCTCGATATTTCACAGATACATCTATGTTGGAGAATTGGATATTGCATCACACAGTACAAAAGTCCTTGTCCTATTAATGCTAGCTGCAAATGACCTTGGCATCACCAATCTCATAGATTGCATTACTAAATATTTAACCGCTCAGAAGCATCGATTAAATGGGCTGTACTTTTTCATAAACAGAGAATGCCAAGGCGGCAAGTTACCCGAACTACAAAAACTATGCGATGACATATTAGTTAACAATCCACTGTCGATAATCAAATCTCCGGAGTTCATGAAAGTCGAAAGCAAAGAGGAACTTTTATTCTTTTACGACAATCTTCCTGAAAATTTACCCGCATCATTACCCGAAGTTTTGTTATGGGAAAAATTGATCGAATGGGGTATAAGCCATTTGAAATTACCGAAGGACAATAATAGCTATGATAATGATCAGTGGGGAAAATTGAAACAGTTGTTAGAATCTTTTATCGAACATATTAACTTTGAGAACATTAATCGCAACGATTTCTTGGCAAAGGTCAAGCCCTACAAGTCGGTTCTGGACCAAGATAAGTATATAGAACTCATGGAAAAACATATGGATGTTCAACAGAACCAACAACCTCTTGAACCTCCTAAACCACAACCTCATGAACCTTATAAGCAACAACCTCATGAACCTTATAAGCAACAACCTCATGAACCTTATAAGCAACAACCTCAACAATTACCTGATCAACAGTCCCGTCTACGAACTAATCGAGATCGGAAGAGCGTCGTGTAGGGAAAGAG